CGTGGTTTCGTTCCATTTCAAAGAGCTTGACGCTCGGCGTAATTTGGCGCACTGCCACTCCAACATCCAATCCCAGAGCTTGAAGATTAATCACGGGGTTTGTCGCAAAGCGGACAGGCGTCGTCACAACAATAGCTGGGGATTGTGGGTAGTGTAATCTCTTTGGCGCTCCACATTTCAGAGAAAACAAGTTGTTTCTCAGAATTGAAGGGGGAAAACACAAAAGCATTGTACACAATTTAAACCTATCAATGTCGTTTAATTAACAAAGACAATCTGGTGTTTTTGAGTTGATGAGTAGTGGAGATATAACTGTTAAATCAATCGACAGTAAGGAGAATACTTACTTCCGGGTGTACAATTCTCCGTTATCCAATGGGAATGGACGCTCACATTGCCTTTAAGAGCTGCCGACATAAACGGGTGCGGTGCTACCATGAAATAGAAAATACCGCCGTCAATGGGAATACATTGCAATCAGTTGAAAGCACTTTGCTTCCATTTATGAAGCTGAAGGAGCCTCGGCGCGTCCCAACTGCATGCCACGGGACCCTGACCAAGCGTCGCTCCTGGACGTTTAGGGAGTGAGAGTGTGTTGACTACCACAACCCCCAACCTCCAGGCTAGACTCTCTAATATACCTGCTGCAGAGAAATTCGAGTTGGATGCCCACAAGTCTTATATTTTGAGGATTACCTGACAGGGACACCACAGTATGTGAGAATGCAGAGCTGTGTGTCAGCATGTGTGTTATCTCCCTTCCTGTACACAGTCTACAAAACTAAAGGAAGTGGATATTAATCAGACCACAAGATGATTCTCAAAAGTCGGTTTATTTATACACATGGATGTAGTCAGACCAAGAGTCTTTACGGACATGGCTTATATCGTAAGGATTTATGTAACTACAGTTTATCAAAGAAATATAAAACTTTAAATCAAATTATAATAAGAATACAAAAGCATAATAAATATAGTTATCAAATAAAATCAAGTTTTATTTATAAAGCACATTTAAAGTGCTGTACATGTAATAAAAGCACACTACAATAACATATGAAAGAAAGGACAAGAAATGTACAACATTAATATAAAGACTAAACACAGGGAAATGTCAGGTATCATGCTCAGCTCTGACTAGAAGGCCAGAGAGAAGAAGTGTGTCTTCAGTGAGGATTTAAAAATCCCTAGGGTCTGGGCTAACCTCACATGGAGGGGCAGACTGTTCCAGAGCCTAGGGCCAGCTGCTGTGAATGGTCAGCAGACCTAAAAGCTCTGGCTGGGGTGTGGCGATGGAGGAGTTTGGCTATATAAACTGGAGCCAGCCCATTTAGGCCTTTGAAAACTAATAAAAGGATTTTAAAATAAATTCGGAACCGAATTGGAAGCCAGTGTAGTGAGGCCCGAATTGGGGTGATGTGGTCACGCTTTTTGTGGCCAGTGAGAAGACGCGCAGCTGCAGGCGTCTAATTGAGGCCTGGTCCATACCCACATACAGAGCGTTGCAGTAGTCCAGTCTCGAGGTAACGAAGGCATTAATAACTCTTTCTAGGTCGTTAAAAGATGAAAATGACTTGGTCTTGGCAAATAGTGTTATTTTAAAAAAGCAGGTTTTGACTACGGAGCTGACCTGCTTGTCGGATTTAAAAGCGTTATCGAAGGTCACTCCAAGGTTCATAAGAGAGGGGAGGGCGTTTTTGTGGAGAGAGCCCAGAATATCAACCGGAGAGGCTGACAATGTGATGTATCAAATCAGCATACAAAACATTAATAATGGAATGTGGAGACAAGAATTATGAAACCTCCAGAAATCAATATCAGCTGAATAAAAAGTTCCTAGACAAACAAACAAACAGATACGAGCAGATGGTCTGCATTTGCAATTGTGAAGATGATGCATAGATTTAAAAGCAACTTAAATTAACTTATTGATTTTACCTTTTTCTTCTCACTCAGATGATTTGTAAATATTTTAATTGTAATAAAAAGACATGAGTGAAAGTAAAAACATTAATGAAAAAGAAAAATGCCATTTGCACCCAGTATTTAAAGATGTAAAAGCTACAAAGTCTATCGATAAAATCGAAATATCTATAGGGCCTTGCATAACATTTAAAACAAGAATAAAAAGAAAACCAATCTCTGTACCAACATGTAAATATGTGTTGGGAAAATACTGAATGTACTCTTCCAATATCAGAGTAGCACATGATAACAAGGCCCAACTGTAGCTGTGTACATGAAAGGATGTATGATTACAGAGAAGAGCGTCCGGACACAGTGTTGTAGGCATATGATAGCTACTGTATGTGATTAACATGATGATTCAGTCTCTATGGAGAAAGACATATGACAAGCATGATCATTTCTGACGTGGCTCTTAGCTAATCCAAACTAAAGATTGAATACTGCTTTGAACCGGTATGCCTGCATCTTGTGACTGTGTAACACGCTCTCTTAAGCATGTGAAGGACACTGTTCTGGGAACTAGTTGTACCAAATGCTCTGTATGTGATAACGACTTCCATTTTCTTGAGAGGATAATAAATACATGTATCCTGATATTGAAGCTCAAGCCGGTGACGAATGATATTTTTCTAACAATATGTAATTATTCAGTTCTTCTTTCATTTTGTAAAACATTTTTTATGAAGCGAAAGTTTTTGCATTGTGTCATTGGTGATAAAGGGGACTCACATTATGCCAAGCTCCACATCCAAATGAAACAAAATTCAAATGGAAGAACCCAAAGTAAACAGATGAAATACAAATTCAGAAGACCAAGTAGTGTTACACTTCCTGTTATCCAAAATGATATACATTGTCAGGGAATAATTTTCCCTGCATGTCCTCCTTCGTCCTCTGACGCAGATGCCCAACCTTGGGCAGCCGCTATCTCCCTTAAGGAGGGGATGCCCTAGCATTTTGTTGTTGTTACCAGTTTATGACCGGGCAACTCTCGGTCAGAGATAGTTATTGTTGTGGGACACCTGGAACACATCCTTCTCGGGGTGTAGATGACCCCGAGCCATAAGCGACAACAAATGTGATTCAGTTTCACCAGCTGTTTAGTCTATCTATTGAAGAATGTTGATTACCCTCAGCGAACTATAATTAAAACCTCCTACCAGAGAGGAGATCCCTCAGAATTGATTTGGCATCTCAATCGTGTGATCAGATCATGGCCCATGACATGTCTTGTGAATTCTCCGGCCGAAGCTCCAAATAAACCATCAGCGTTTGCCATCAAAGCTCCAGCTCTCCTCGTGTCTCTCTGAGTCCTGTCTCCAATTGCTTCAGAAGTTTCCCCCACAAACATCATTTTGGCTAAGTTCCACATTTTTACCAAACTTTTGTATTAAGTTAGGAACATTCTATTTGTTTCATATATAATAACAATTGGTGTAATGAGAAAAAGGTCACAAAAGCATGTTTCTTAATAAGTGTTGCTACAATGAAGTGCCCCTTACTGTGCTATATGAGCCTTAAGCTTATTGTGAGCATCCATATATTTGGCAAGTTGCTGTGAAACACAGAAAATGCTTTAATAAACATCCTGTAAGGCCCCAAACTGAATAGCAAGCAAAGTTGCTCATCGGGGGACATAAGGTCAACAAAGACTGGCAATGTTGTCAGGAAACCGGCAGATTGAGGATTATAAATTGACGTGAAAAAATACCACATTTGTTAAATCTGTTAGTTGGATACTTATGACAAAGTGAAACAAAATGTAAAGAATAAATAGATGACTGTCTTTGTTGAAAATGTTCAGTTACTTTTACATTTATATTTGTTATCTCTTTGAAATAAGTGAGTTTTTGTTGCAAAATGTTCCTTTCTTTGAACCTATACAATGCCTGAGTCACCAAAGTACCACAGCAGGACAAAGGCTAGAGAGAGGAGAACTGTGCCTAGTAAGTCTCCAAGGGCTGTGAGGTAGGGTATTGAGTAACTGTCGGGGTCTTTACCCTGACGCCACAGGAAGTGGACCATACAGTCTGCTATGCAAAGCAGGCAGAAGACCTGAGAGATGGACAAAAGTGGTGTTGTGAGACAGTGATTAAGTGTGCAGAGGGAAAATGACGACATTTGTTACTTGTGACTCACCTGAATCAGGGAAGCAGACAAGAAGGCACCAGTGAAGAGAGCACTGGGCAAAGTGTGGCCTCCTTTTAAAAGGTGGATAGCGTGTAAGAAGACGATCTGACCGGGGATCACCAGAAGAAGAAGAACCTGAGCACATCGATGGTTTGCTCCTGCCATGACAAAGATAAACATCAGAGAGTGTGTAAGTGTGTGCTCCCTTCACTGTCTACCTTTAAGGTGTGTGTGTGTGTGTGTGTGTGTGTGTGTGTGTGTGTGTGTGTGTGTGTGTGTGTGTGTGTGTGTGTGTGTGTGTGTGTGTGTGTGTGTGTGTATATGTTATTTAAATAAACAAAAAATCGATCTTTACCTGAACCAAAGAAAGTGTGGCAAGGGCTAAAACAGCCTTTACGGTCTTCAGGTACCTCTTTATGTGAGTAATTCAAATGCAGATTAGTGGAAATACGACTGGCCTGAATGGAGACGAGGTTCCCTCCAATACCTGTAAAGAAAGACAATGTAGAGAGCACTCATCTGACTTCACACAGCAACTACAACAAAGGGATCTATTTTACATTTTACATTAGTACTTCCTGTAGACTGACTTTGTAAATTGACATAGTTCCCAGCGACTTCACCTCCAAAATTCTAATTTGCACATTAAGAACATTTCTTGATAGATTCAAGGTAATGGTGTGTTTGGCAGCTGCAAATGATGAAAACCCTCATTTCCATAACTCATGCATCGGCAGAAGGAATTTCATAATTAAAATACAAATAGTCACATTGATCTGGGGTGGAAAAATGTGTCTAGAGGCAGTTCTCCAGAGGGGGGTTGGGGCATCAACATCCGCCGCAGAGAATGAAAATACCAGACAGGGGGAGGGGCAGACCAACAGATCTCACAGAAACAGCTGGATTCAATACTTTTTTTCAAATCTATTTAACAGATGGAGCTGATCATGGCACTTTTGTATTAAAATAAGTTTGCTCTTACCTTTAGTGCTATTTATCAATCTAGCAATTTAAGTTAAAGTTGCACAGTGTTATGCTCTCCTGAGATCAATAATACTGCTTGTGGCACTTTGAGCCCCACAAGCAGTTTTTTCCACAATGCACATCTCATACATATTCTCCACCTTTCCAGGTAATCATTAAATGGCTTATAATGTTGAGTATTGATACTTGGTTAGCCTGTTTCGCCGAGACTGGTAAAGGTTAGACCTTGCCATTTTGGTTGGATCCGTGTCTTAAATCAACTCAGCAGTCGCAGACAGGTCAAAAAGTGACCTCGGGGAGAAAAGGAAAGAGATCCATACTTCTCACATACTCGAGTTCAGGCCAATATGCCCTTCCAAAAGAGGCTGACTCACCATTTATGACTGGTGCATAAACTATGATTCCTGCCAGGTTTGGATCGGATACAGCCTTGTCCAGAATAAGTCCTCCAATACTAAAAGAAAGACAGACAAAAACATGCATTCCTCCTTATAAAGTTCTACATTTTGACAAACTAACTAATCATTTACTGAATGTATAACTTTGGGAATCCACAACTAAACAAAGATAGTTAACTAGTCTTCAATATAATAGCATGCTTTCTGAAAGGTCAGTAAAGACTAGGGTCAGTACCTGCTGATGACCATAGCTGTTATGATTGGTTCCCAGCCCGTGCGGAGCAGGAGCTGACTGGCTGGATGTTTGGAGGAGATGACCACCCAAAGAGGAATCAGGCATATAAATAACATATCCACCAGGTACAACACGTAGGGATACAGCTCTGTCAAGACAAAAACTCATTATCTATACCTGTATTTGCAACAAGGATTCAGTTTTTGTTAGGTTCATGATCCTTATGGATGAGTTGGTTCCAGGATCATGAGTACCATCTGTTGGCCAACAGTAAAATTACATGACCTCTGATCCATGGGTGTCCAATGTATAGCATTATTCCATAATGTTCTTGTGTATGTTAAACCGATTGAAATAGACCACCTTGTTGTCCTTGTTGTTTTTACCTATGAGGGAGAAGAACCACTGACTGAAGCAGGCCAGCAAGGCAAGAGTGATGAGATCTCCAAAACTGGCAGCCATCGGTGTGGCCACGTTATCAGGGTTGATTCCCATCCGCATGGAGCCAAGGATCACTCCCACCATAATAATACCTACAGCCGGATAAAAACAATGTAAAATCGTAGTTTATTAGGTGACATGGGATCGGTAAGGAAGGCATTCATTCTGTGGGAAAAATGTTTTAATTTCAACCTGAATGGAACTAAAAGGGCCCTAAAAATTTAATTTTAGTATTATTTATTTTCAATGTTAATTGTTAAGAAAATAAAAGTTATGTAGGGGCAGCAGAGGAAAGAATGAGTACCTTGTGTGAATGCAGGCCCCAATTTATAGCTAAACATCTTCATATGTGGCACTGAGCTTGTGAAAATTAGCATGTGCTACAATTCAAATTGTTGTTTAATAAAAGGACATTGTGTCCCCAAAAGTTGTACAACTTTTCTAGAATTGTTTTAAATTTCTTAGATGCGACTCTCCACACTCCCTCTGTTTATTCTCACATTCTTAGCATAATGTCCATCATGAAAAGCAGCTCTTTTCAAGAAAAATAGTCAATTTCCTGAGATGGTGCAGTTTTTTCAAGCCGCTGGACCAAAACACAGGACACAATGGATATAGGTCAGCACCTGTCATTGTATAATGTATGAATCATTGAGCTGAATTGATTGAGGTCAAGGGTGAAGCAGAGACTATTTGAACAGATGGATTGTGATGGTGTTTCAATGGTACGGCAGATTGTGTTGTTACCTTGCAGCAATGAAGCAAAGAAGGTGGTAGAAACACTGGCAGAACACAGGAGCATTATGTGATGCAGAGGCATCTGTCCTTCTGCCATCCAACCCAACACAGTCGCCATCAAAGAGGCTAACAGCCCGAGCACTGTGGCCTGAAGCTGTCAAATGAGGGAGCACGTTAGAAATACCCACAACACTTGTTAGATTGCAATAACATGAGGGAAATAATGAAGTAATGATACAAGGACGTTTTTTGACAGACAAAATAGATACAGTTTATCACAAAGCGGCTGTAGCCGAAAGAAAATAAGGTACCTGCTTCAGCGCCAAGTTCCCCATGATCAACATCCACTTTTCTCTGGTGGACTCCATTTTTTCTGCATTCACCTGAAAACATAAGATGTGGCTGATACATTAAAAACTTGATAGACTCGATTTGCTTATGAAGATCATGGGATATAAATAAAAGCTTCAGAAGAGCTACTTAATGGATGGATTTGATTTCTTTGTCAACTGGTTTTTCCAAAGTCAAGAATGAATGGATTAATATTGTTTATAATGTTACAACATCAGCTAAAACAACAGAATCAACAACAACTGTGAATAACTTCTACTCCAGTAATATCCAACTTAAACATCCAATTATAAATAGAAATACTATAAACAAATACATTGTTAGATTCCTTGTGAACAATGAAAATGAACGCTTTTGGGCTTTGCTTAATCGACTATATCTATTACGAGTACATATGGCCCGTATTCAACAAAAGCATAAAAACGGATAAAAGACTGAGAAAATAAATATATAATTAAATTGCACAAGCATACATACATTTCAACAGAAAATCGAACTATATAGGGATTATTTGTTAACATACATTGAGAATAACTTCAATGAAACACGAAGGCCAACCTGTTACTATTCTGTCATTACTTTTCAACATCCCTCCGCTAAGTGGTTCCTACTAAAGATGGACATGTTTAAAAGCTGCTGTTTTTATAAAATGAAACAGCAACCAGAGTAAAAAGTGTCTTTCTTGAGACTATTTTCACCTACAAAGGTTTCCAAACTTAAGGCACTTAAAAGCATCAACGTCACAAGAACGGAATTGAATAAAAAACATCCTATTTTTATCCCAATGAATGAAAGTCTTATCCTGTGCAACAGTGTTGTTCATCAATGTGTTTAATTTTTTTCGAAAGTAATGGAGCCATATTACACAGCTGTTAAAAACAAACATTATTTGATCATCATATTCTTTCCCTTCCAAGAAAACCTATTTTCAGTTTATGTTTAGGTTGGACTATTGTTATTATCAACTTGTCCTGCGGGACATTGTGCGAGTTGATGTGCTGCCGTGGTCTTCACAGCTCTGTGAGGAGTTTCACACGAGGAGTTTTAATTTAATTGTGTATGTAATGTTCTAAATCTGGTTGTTTATTAGTAATTATATATCAAATAAAGAATATAAACACAAAAAAGTTCCTTTTTGTGTACATCATGGTAAAGCATAGGAATGGATTAAATTACAGTGTGTGTGTGTGTGTGTGTGTGTGTGTGTGTGTGTGTGTGTGTGTGTGTGTGTGTGTGTGTGTGTGTGTGTGTGTGTGTGTGTGTGTGTGTGTTAAAATTCACACTTACAGCAGTGGAGAGTCTCGAGGCTAAAGTCATTTCCAGGTTACCCTTCATGCCTAACACTGCAGGGACCAGGATAAAAAGTTCTGTGATTTCCTGGAACACGTCCCAGCTCTGCCATGGAAACAAACGTAATATGGATGAACCAATAACAACACCACAAACACAGAATAAATCATCTTCATTTTCACCTAGGATAATAAAAGACGTAACAATTATATTAAAACGTTCTGGCAAAATTAGAATGTGTTCTTTATACAATTTCTACAATTTAGCTTCCACATTTTGTAAAGCCAAGACATTATGACCTCTTTTAACTGTAAACCACATCTCCTTTACTTTGTTTACCCACCTGCACCACTTCAAGCAGCATCCCAGCACAGATAGTCCCGAGCCCGGCCAGCAGAAAAGGCACCAGGATCTGAAGCAGCATGGAGCGGAGGGACTCAGCAGGTGGAACTGAGCCACCCGCATCCTTTGCACTTGTGGATCTACTGAGTGTTGATCTACCGTAGAGTTGACTCGGGATTAGAAAGTCTGTCTCAGTGTACTCTGGATCATGCTGGATACTTGGGCTGATTGTTGAAATACTCCCATTAGAGATAAAACGTTGTGGACTTCCAGAGTGTTGAGATGCAGATGGGTACTGTGGGATGGTGCCTCTGCCCACAGAGCCATTTGGGGACAGTTTGTCATTGTGTGACTCGGGGACAACCATGGTGTAAAGCTGGCAGGATGCTTGCTACTCCTGAGGCTTCTGCAAACTGAGAAACAGTCGCACCAACACTGGTCAGAGCGGTCCTAAAAGGATAAGAGAAACGCCAAAAGTAAGAAGAAATAAAACAGCAAGAAAAAACTGGTTCAAAAGCTGTATAAATTGATTCAGAAGCTCAGCATTTAGTTATAAAGTTGTGTACCACACATTTAATTTCCATGAAAAATCAAGTGTGCAACTTTGGCATGTGGAAAGCTTGGCTGTGTCAGGGTCATCTGATGGCACAGATTGCTGCATTATCATTCTTCATGCCTGTTCTCATTGGCAACACTGAGGCAGCATTGTTTGGGAGGACAAAGCTCTAGATTTGGAATTCCTAAGAGATGACCAGGTACTAAGCAACTGAGGTTATCGAATTGAGAGCGAGAAAATATCCAAAATATGTAACTGTCAATCATTTTCCTATCAACAAACCTGCTTCAACTGTTTATCACAATGCATCAACATTACCCTGAACAAAACGTTGTATCCTAAAAAAAACATTACAACCTTTTTAGATAAATCTTATTAAAAATGACTGCTAAAGAAGTAAAGAAACCAACATTATGATTGAGAAACATCATTGTGTCATATATTCATGGTAAACTTGACCATCAACAATTGCTAGAAAAGGTAACAAGAACCTAACTATTATGAACCAAGACCGTATTTCATCCTTTGAGGCTAAGATATAATACGCCGGTGAAAGATGGCCGCATTGTCTTTTGGCTCCTCTCCAACTTTGTCCTTTTTGGTATTTTGTTTGTGTTTATTTACTTTTTACCGTTTGCTTTTAACATGGTTCACTATATTTTTCTGTTTATCTGTGTTATTGTGTTGCACTGTTGGAGAAGCCTGTGACCTAAGATTTTCATCGGAATAACTACACTATGTTCGTATGACAAAATAAAGAACCTTGAACCTTGAACCTTAAGCAGCCCAAGTTATCTAAAAGGAATATTGTGCTCACAAATCTGCAGATTCACGAGGGAATCTCAATGAATGGTGCATCAAACAAACTGTATGAAAGGATTTCTACAGTCGAGCTAATCATCTTCAAGATCACAATCAAAGGTTTAAGTACAAAATAAGTACTAGGAATAAAAAAAAAAGTTTCAATTTGTATACCAAATCAATTTTTAATGCTGAGTTTAAATGTTGGTGTATGTGCTCCTTTAGCATATCTGCTAATCCCACATACTTCTACAATCAATGTGTCAATATGTGTTTTTATATATTTCAATTCGATAGAATGAACAAAATGTAGAAAATAGTTAGATAAATAAACGAATAAATGAAACAAAAAAGGGCCTTACCCTTATTTTTGAACCATACGAGGAGAAGAGTTCTCTCTCTGCACTGCTAACCGTGACTCTTCCTCGTCGACTCTGTCGTCCACTAAATAGTAGCTGAGTCTTCAGTGTGACTTTAGCCCAACTCCCCCTTCTCAATCACACATACACACACTGCATATCTCTTTGTAAACCCCATCTAACATTTTCAGTAGGCATATTCAAATACGTTGGCAGTGGACAGGCAGCAGGATACACACATATTTAACAGTTATTTGTTAGGAGCTGTCCAATATTGGCCTGCTGTGACCATGTAATTGTTATGTTGTTTTATCACATGAAGTGTTTATTTGACCCTTGACATACAGGGTCTATCTATCCATCTATCTATCTGTCTGTCTGTCTGTCTAGTGACATGTCTACTGGACTCCATTTCCCATGAGCACTAGCAACCATTCACGAAAATCATGAGACCCATCATGGGATCGTGTAGCAACACTCTTTAACAGCAGCGTTTTGGGTCACCGGGTCTTGCATTATGGCTGTAGAAACAATCGCCAGTGACTGGGAATTTGACCGTTTTGACGACGGTTCACAAAGTAAGTAAAGTCCTGTATAAATAGCGACGTGCTAAACTTAACTAGCCTCCAGTGCTAGCTTACGCTGCTAGCTATACGCTTAGCCACTGGGCTCCGTCTATTTGCTGCCACAGAACAACTCCTACTGTGAATTGCAAACAAATGCTCGTAAAATGGAAAGCTTCTGAAATTATTTCACTATATCTGCTATACTTGAACGCGTAGTGTGCTGGTTGCAGTTGATATGTAAAAGTAAATGTGTAAAATTAAGTAAAAGCAAAGTTATTTAACGTTATTCACGGCTATCAGTCACATAGCTAACAGCTGATCAGCCTGACAGCCTAATGACACTTGGGTCATTTTGACAGTGGTTTATAGTAAACACTGCAAAAATAGTGGACACTAACTTCCTCCTAGAAAACAAAATGGACAATGGTAGGGTTTTATGTATTTGTGTGTAAGGTGTCCTGCGGTTATTATGCAGTGCCCCCCGCAGATAGGAAATTGTTTTGGATAAGATTGTGCATCTATTTCTCGAATGAGACTATTACGTTCACATTTGAGCAAGCATTAATGGACATTTACCCTAATCTAGCTGTAACAACATTAGTGTTTAAATCACAGTGAATAGCCTGCTGCAGTGTACTTGATCAAACCCTCCACCCTACAGAAATACACACAGAGGTTCAACTCAAGAACTACAGCAAGTTTCTGGAGGACTACACCTCCCAGCTGAGGGGTATTGAGGAAGCTCTGGATGACTCCATAGGAGATGTGTGGGATTTCACTCTGGACCCCATCGCCCTGAAGGTAAAACATCAAACACTAGTACTTGTACATCAACCTGAAAACACTGACATTGTGCTTTCTCAATTCACACACATCTTCCTTCCCTATATGTTCTACTCTCTTTCAGCTTCTCCCGTACGAGCAATCATCTTTATTGGAGTTAATTAAAACAGACAACAAGGTAAATAGAAACACACAAAATCTTTAGTTTTCAAGACACTTATCTACACAATTGTACTTGTTTAGATTTGGCTAATATTGCTTCCATTGTGTGCAGGTTCTGAACAAAGTCATCACAGTATATGCTGCTCTCTGTAGTGAAGTAAAGAAGCTCAAGTATGAGGTAAGCCTGCTCAGAACACTTCACTCTGAGCTAATGTGAAATTAGTTTGGTTTGTGTCTGTCTGCTATTGGTTGAAGGTCCCATTATGTAAACAATGAACGCTTATGTCTTTTGATTTCAAAGCAGGCCCAGGTGCTACATTCATATTGTGAAAGTAACAAGTTTTACACTTCTCATATTAAGAAACAGTTTTTTAAATGAGAAGTTTTGATCTCACAACTATACAATACATGGGTAAAAAGTGGCAATGCAGATGGTGTGTGCACAGATACACAGACACTCTGACCAATTAGAGCAGATTGGAACGTTGTTGCAACTTAAAATCAGTTGCTTTCTAAAAGCAATATTGAAGCTGTTAAGTGAACCCCCTTCAGTGAGAAACAGACGGCATTTTAAAGAGTTACAAGAGAGCAAGAATACCATTACTACATTCCATACTCAGGATACCATTTGTTAAAAGTAACATTTCAAAGTTAATGATTACTTTATTAAAACAGTAATACCACAATCTCCATATCAGAATACAGCTACATTCAGACACAAAGTATGAGAAACCTAATTTAAATGTAATTAGTTTCTTGAACATTAACGCGTAATGTAAACATGTGATTGGAGAAACCCAAAACGCATGTGTTTACTTGAAAATGAGTACTATACCTATTTTTAAAGTCTATCATAAATAAAGAATCATAGCATTGTTTGCATCCATGTTTACTAGCTTGCAGTCATCTTGCGTTTTACTGTATATCTTGGCATGTGAACGCTACTTGCTGATTAGTGGAATAGTGTGACACCAATGGCAGGATTGTGTATCACATCACTGCTTGTGTATGTCATAAACAAAACATTGACCCAGTCATAGAGATCTAAATAAATCTCTTCAAACTGTTGTTGAAATCCCTTGTCTGTGCTGTGAGATACAAATTCTGATTCTGTGGGCTTAATGGTGGGGTAGGTAAGTTTGAGAAACCGGCTCGAGATACACTTTTTGTTATATTCCATGGAATGCTCTTAACATCCCGATAGCAATGAATATCTTAAGTGCTTTGACAAAAAATCCATAAAAAAATGTCATCTGTGGAAGCCGTAGTACTGTAAAAAGCACGACCAATCATTTTAGCCGGCCCGGTTAAAATAAATGGATGGCCTTCCTGCCTGTCAGCCTTCCATCTGTGCACAAACTTATCTCATGCCCTCATTGGTCATGTGCGCGTTCGTGTGTGTTGGAGGAGGGGCTCTGTAAGGAAGAGGCAGATTTTCTCCGGTCGTGTATTTTCAAATTCTAGCACACTCGAGCTGGTTTCTCAAACTTACCTACCCTACCTTTAACTTATTTCCCCCTGCAGGCAGAAACCAAGTTCTACAATGGCTTATTGTACTATGGAGAGGGAGGTAATGTCAGCAATTAATATCTACTTTTACACTAGATGTAATCTAAGTGTTACTCAGTAATTGTTGATTAAATTATTATAAAACGTATACATTATTTTGTGTTACAGTGTCTGATACCAGCGTTGTCGAAGGAGAGTCCCAGATACAGATGGGCAGATTTATCTCATTCCTTCAGGTAGATAATGGATCATTTATGTCGTCACTTGTATTTGATTGAAATCCAGAAACACTGATAGTTGTTCGCTTTGTCCATTGGTAGGAACTTTCCTGTTTTGTGACAAGATGTTATGAAGTGGTGGTCAACATTGTTCATCAACTGGCTGCCCTCTACAACAGCAACAAGTAAGATCCTTCAACTGTAGCAAGTATTCACAGTCAACGTACTGTGCTTGTTGAAATGGCTCGAGAACCCACGTCGTCAAAAGAGCCTTTGTGCACTTCACATGAAGCAGAGAAACAAACAACAAACAGAATGCGTTGTTGTGCTTATTGCATCTTTGACTCTGTTACAATGTCAAACAAATGATACAAAGCATCTCTCATATTTCAGGGGTGCAACAAAAGTCATTGAGTCGTCAGGTGTCCATTTTCAGGTGGGTTTAAGATTTTCGAAACAAATTCTCCATCTCTGTATCTCAATCTCTAAATATTTGTACCATGTCTGTTTGATGTTCCCTCTGCAGACAGTGTACGAACACCTCGGGGAGTTATTAGTGGTTCTGCTCACACTCGATGAGATCATGGAGAATCACGGCACACTAAAAGATCACTGGAAGATGTATAAAAGGTAAACACACACAGTTATGGGAACCAATAAGAAAGGCCCTGAAATTCCCAATATTCCATGTCAAAATTTGAATGTATCTGGAGGACTATTAAGGACAGCTCTCAGTGGCTTTAGTTAAGTTGTTGTTTTCAATTTCACTTAAATATACGTGCATTGATTTGATCTAAGACACATTTATATTTATGATACCTTACATTTTCTGCATTTTAAACCTACTTTCATGTCTCTAAACCAGAAATGAGAATATGTGTATGATAAACGTTTACATACTTGTGTTTAATGTATGATTTAGGATGAAGCCCTCTGTAATTACATCCTCCTGTTGGTTGTAGGTTGTTGAAATCTGTGCACCATAACCCTGGGAAATTTTCCATTCCTGAAGAGAAACTGAAACCATTCGAGAAGCTGCTGCTCAAGCTCGAGGGACAGATGCTGGATGGCATGATACTGCAGGTGACTCCACTGTTTCAGGCCTTGATTATGATGTAGGATTCATTGTCTTAGTTTGAGGACTTTGCTGAAAAGTTGGTGGTTCCAAGTTTGTGCTTATATGCAAATTCCATTGTGAGCATAGATCATTTTAAGTCTAATATTGTGTTGAGGTCCTCTGAGGGACATTGAAAACATGGTTTTTGATGCTGTCTGACAGGCCTGTGTGGAGCAGAGATTCGACGATCCGGGGGAAGGAGTATCTGTTGCCAAAAACAGTGCCTTTGCAGAGGAGTTTGCCCTCAACATCCGCACCATATTCACCAATATTGAGTCCAAAATTGGTCAGTTTCTCTTCTCAGGATTAACTGGTTTGCGCTTTCCTGCAGCTTCCAGTGTTTTATGTCTGTGTGCCTTTTGTTGTTTTCAGGGGAACCTTCGGAGATTGACCAGAGGGATAAGTATGCAGGTGTCTGTGGCCTCTTTGTGCTTCACTTTCACATCTTCAGGAGTGTTGACAAAAAGTTCTACAAGGCGCTGCTGGATGTTTGTAAAAAGGTAGTTATGGGTTCTTGCCTTTGTTCTCTATCCGACTGCCTCATCTTCTTCTGTTTATTTATCTTTAAAATATCGTGTGTGTGTGTGTGTGTGTGTGTGTGTGTGTGTGTGTGTGTGTGTGTGTGTGTGTGTGTTCCTCTAGGTTCCAGCTGTCACTCTTACTGCTAACATCATCTGGTTTCCCGACACTTTCCTCATCGCTAAAGTCCCAGCTGCAGCTAAGCTGATGGATAAGAAGAGTCTACAGGCCATCAGAGCGCAGAGAGACGCCTACCTGCAGCAAAGAGCTGTGACACTAACAAAGTTAGTTGCAACAAAAAAAAGTGTTTCTTTTTTTTTTTTTATATATTTGTAGAATCTGATTGTTACTGTTGTCTCTTCTCTTCAGGGATGTTCAGTCCTACTACGTGTTTGTAACTTCCTGGATGATGAAGATGGAGTCCATCATATCCAAGGAGCATAAAAGTGAGAAGTTGGCAGAAGACCTGAACAACAGGTGCAATGTGTTTGTACAGGTAAGAGCTGACAGTATTAACAAGGCTCAGCTGGACCACAGAGGGTACCACATGGCATTCACATTTTACACTTTGAAATTCTGCTGCAAATGCTCAGAATATACATGTATTCTCCTCAAAGACCAACCAAATACCTGTCTCTAAGTTTCAGTGATATAAGTACTTGTCTGTAATATGATAAACTGACCACATATTATTATGTAAAAACAACACTTTTTTTGTACTACTTAACTAACAGTTCCCTCTGCGCTTCCTGTCCTTCACAGGGCATTCTGTATGCATACAGCATCGGCACCATCATTAAAACCACCATGAACATGTACATGTCGATGCAGCGGCCCATGACCAAGACTTCTGTCAAAGCTCTGTGTCGACTGGTGGAGTTGCTCAAGGTGAGTGTGTTCCTGTTTTCCCACCAGTGCCTTGTCAGTTTGATTAAAACTAATACACTCATGTGATGTGTGGCTCCTCTCAGGCTGTGGAGCACACGTTTCACAGGCGCTCCATGGTTGTAGCAGACTCTGTTTCTCACATCACTCAGCAGCTGCAGTCGCAGGCCCTCAACTCCATCGGCAACGCCAAGGTAATTACAAACACACTCAATTATTTGCTTGTTATTGACAGGAGGAGTTTATGCAGTTGTGACGTGAGTGGAATGTTTATATTTTTCTAACTAGAGGACTAACTCTGTGTATTTATTCCCTGAAGAAAAGGGTGATCTCAGATAAGAAGTACAGTGAGCAGCGGCTGGATGTGCTATCCTCTCTGGTGATGGCAGAAAATGCTCTGAGTGGACCCAGCACAAAGGAGCGGCGCCTCGTGGTGTCTCTGGCACTGTGTGTCGGCACGCAGCTGGTACGTTGGGATAAGTTGGTGCTTAATTGGATACAAAACATTCCTTTGCTTAATATCGAATAACATCTGCTTTCTTTTAGAAAACGTTCAAAGACGAGGAGCTGCTTCCACTGCAGCTCGTGTTGAAGAAGCTGGATCTGATCAGCGAGCTGAGTGAGAGGTGGGCTTTTTCTTCTTTCAGAATGAGTTGAACAACATTTCAATCTGTTTTTGCTCCTTGTGCCAAGAGCTGGACAATTGTTTAACCCTCCAGGCAGAAAGACAACTTTTAAAGTTTAGATGCTGCTGCTTTGTGTGACAGCTTTACAAAATCTCATTTCATAGTCAGCAGTTTGGTGTTTTGTGATGCCTCGTAGGAAATGAGCTAAACCACCTCGTAGTTTTGAGAAAAGGCTCAAGGCAAGCTCTTTGTAAAACCAAATCATGAAGATGCTGACACCTTACCCATTAATCGCTTTGGCAGCTGACTGTCATCGATTATCTAGTGAAACAGTCTTGCAGTCATCTGATACTTGGTGGATGCTAATTTTGGACTTGTCAGCCAATTGATATTTTCTTTGACCTACTTTAGGCGTACTTAGGGACTGTTTTTGTTTCTTCCTCAGGGTGAAGCTGCAGTGTGACTGTAGTTTCCTTTACTGGCACCGAGCTGTGTTCCCTATCTACCTCGATGATGTGTACGACAACGCCGTGGACGCAGCACGAATACACGTAAGCAGACAGACAAGAGCGAGACTTCTAATCATGTCTGCAAGATCCCAAAAGATCCTTTTTTAAATCAATTATGGCGAAACCTAACTTTCTCCTTGAGTTTTGAAAGTTGGATTTACTGGTTTAGCAGATACAAAGACCATTAATGATATACAAAGGTATATCAAATGTTATCTCTATGTTTATGATTTTAAATGTTAGTTTCTGTGTTTGATTGGTTGCTCTGTTTTTCTGCCTTCCTGGATGCTGTCTTTGATTGGCTGGAGCAGTACATGTTCAGCGCTCTGAGGGACAGTGTGCCCTCCATGCTGCACGCCAAACACATGGAATCATGTGACCAGCTCCTGGAGAGTTACGACAAGGAGATCATGGACGTGTTCAACGAGGTGAGAGGTCGAAATAGAGGAACCAGATGGTAGAGGCAGGAAGAGGAAATACACAGTATGGTGTAGAAGTGTACACACCACCAGCATTGCAGCAGTCATTAACCTTCATTTTTAAATCTTGTTGTTGTCGTGGATCCAATGTAACACTCACAACATTAAAGAATAAGACAAAGAGGAATCGATAAAACAAAGACACAGAGATAGTTGACGTTAATTATTATATTGCTGTACAGCTCTATGATGAGACACATTACATTGCTCCAAAGCAGTGAATCGTGTAATGCCCCCACAGAGCAAGAGAATCGTACACGTTATATACACTTGAAACAGCGTACGTGGCAGAGATGTTCTATCCTTATAAAGTCATATGCTGCATCCTTGTGCGTGGCAGACATGCTCTAGCCTTATACAGTCATATATGTTACATCCTCTGTCTCCTCAGAGTTTACTTGATCCTAGATTTCATGACCTTATTAAGCAGTTACCACACATGCTAATGTGTACAACTGCTGGTGAAGACATAGATGGGCCTCTTTTAAGTACACTAAATGAATAACTCACTAGCATGGCTGTTGGAGAAATACTGTTTTCTCCACTCTTTGGGTTGTTTTAATGCACTGATATCATGTGTGGCTCTGAACTGTGTATGACCTTGCAGCTGCCTCTTCTTGGAGGAGGCAGGGCATTTCAGGTTGTGGAGAAGACAGACTTGCTGTCTCCTAAATATCTCATTTCTATGAAGCGTGAAGGAAGTACGTGACTCTTTCCAGAAGACATCACAGATGACCCAACTTTCCGACACCCGCGGCTGATATTAGCGCCACCTCGATTTAAGACTTTGTTGTTATCTCCTGTGTTTTGGACTATATACTGTAAGCCTGATGTATTTTGCAGCTCCGTTGAGCAACATACCTCATGTGTGTGAGTTAACCCATATCCTTTGTATGTGATTTAACTCTGCTCCTTCTTGCAAGAATAAATTAGAACCTGATCATTGATTCTCAACCTGGTGTCGAGTGATATTTTTCTAACAATGGCTTAAAACACATGATCATATACAGTAATATAGATCATTTCAACATTGTCATTGCAGCACCTGCTGGACAAGCTGTGTAAGGAGATAGAGAAGGACCTGCGTCTCTCTGTCCACACACACCTGAAGCTGGACGACAGGAACCCTTTCAAAGTCGGCATGAAGGACATGGCACACTTCTTCTCCATCAAACCTATCCGATTCTTCAACCGCTTCATCCTCATCAAAGGTGAAGAGAAACAGTTTCCATACATGTACCCTCATATCCTATTTCAGTCCTGTTCTCTTTGGCATTTCCTAAGAGCTTCTACTGCACTTATTTGAATGAGTTTTTTCATTTAATGTCAAATTCAGATGCATTCAATGTTTTATTATTATTATTGAATGTTGGCTGAGGTGGGCAGCTTGATAGTGCTGTTTCTGTTTCAGTGCAGCAACGTCAGTTTTACAAAAGCACTTCTTTTTTAGTTGGATGAAAGAGTATCTTTAGAAAACTGTTCTTTAAAAAGTGTAATTCTTTTTTTTTATGGTGCCATTTGTGTTCATTTCAATTTGTTAAAGAAGGGTATGTTTGCATTTAGGCAGTATACTGACAGCAGCAGACATAACTTAGTTAACTTTTTCATAAGCAATATCATAATCGCAATATTCAACACTGTTATCCACATTTTGTAGCCATACTTTAAAAAATATATATAATTCAGCACAAATACACTTGAATCTGTTCAAGAAAATGAACTATATGTCACGTCTGAAGTTGACAACTGCTGTAAGATAATGCTAATTGAGAAAGTGACTTATTATGACAAATCTTATTTGAACGTCTGTACAGCCTATGTGACCCACTACCTGGATAAAACCTTCTACAACCTAACCACTGTGGCTCTGCACGACTGGGCCACCTACAGTGAGATGAGAAACCTCGCCACGCAGCGCTATGGACTCACGATGACGGAGGCCTACCTGCCCAGCCAGACTCTGGAGCAGGTCGGTGTGGCTGCAGCCTGAACATCATGACAGGTGGAGTTTATATCCAAAGTATTAACCGATCCCCTGTGTTTTCTATTAGGGTTTGGACGTTCTGGAAATCATGAGGAACATTCACGTTTTTGTGTCACGCTACCTCTATAATCTCAACAACCAGGTATTTATAAACCATAAACCAGGTTTATTATAAGGTTACGTTCCGCATTACAGAAGCACGTTGCCCATAAACTACATGTCCCACAATGCATCTGACTTTGTGACCCGCACTGAAGAGGCTGGCAATTATTTGCCCTAGACTTCTGCTTTCAGACGTAGTTCATTCTGAAGTTATTAACCTATCCCAGGGGTCTGCAAACTTTTTGACCAAAAGAGCCATTTTGCCCCCTTTTCCACAAATTGTTTTTGTCTGTAGCCACAAAACATGATAGCTTGATAGCTTATAAAGTTGCATATTGTTATGTCATAGACAAGAACTACAGTTTTTTTGCATTTATTATTTACTACATTATAGAAAACTGTTTAGCTCTAATAATAAACAAAGAACTCTTATAAGGAGAATAAAAAAATATATACACAGGCCTACTTTAAAATAAATTAAACACAGCACTTGGGGAGTCCTCTGCATATTTGAAGAAAATGAATATAATTGAAATGGGCCCACTTAAATAAATAAATAAAACCTATAGCTGCACCCTAAAAAGAGTTAACTGATTGAATTATGACTGAAGATCGTCAGCTGTCTTCCTCTTCCGTGTTTTTCCTCCAATAAGAGAGGCTGCAGCACCTTTGACAACTTCTCTCCACATATCAAACATACCAGTAAGCCAGCATCGTTTGCTGTGAAAGCAGATAACTCTAACCAAGCAGAATTAAACCCTCTGTGTTCCTCCGATACTTTTCTTTTCTTTGATTTATCCATAGTTCGCTCATCGAGCAGGGGGTCAGGTTATTCGCCTGCAAGACAAGGCGCTAGCGCGGGACCGTAGCAGGATGTGACGCATATTTTAGTTGACCTAATTAAAACCGTTTTGTTTTTTATT